TGCGGAGAGTCGTTTGGGGACCTTGTGGCACGTAGTGCACCAGGTCTCTGTATTCGGCCCTTCAAAAAGTGTGGATGGTTCTGCACAAATCTTTCACCACTATAATCAAATCTCATGTTCTGGCGTCGGGCTGTTAGTTTCCTTGGAACTGATCTGCTTGACCCTCATACATCGAATTCGACGGGAGAGTCGTGTATATATATATATATATATATATATATATATATATAATCAGGATAATTCTGAATCAGATTCAGAATTATCTTGATGATCCGGTAGGTGAATCCAAGGTAGATAGGTTCTAGATCTTTAGGTATTTCAGTTTTGCTTTAGTTAGTGTATTGAGCACTTTTCCGTTCAACTTAGGAACTGCGTCGGTGTTTTTTTTTCTTTTGACTAGACATTGCAGTGCTGATTGATTATTTTCAAGCAGTACGCAAGTTTTTAGTCTTTTCATTTTATTGAATTTATTTTTCCCTAATATCAGTTTGTCTAATATTTTTTATTTACAAATTGTATTATCTGTGTGCTTTTCTTTCACACCGCCAAAGATATAGTTTAAAATAAAATAAAATATATGTATATATACAGGTTGTATCAAAAATACTCTTACAAACTTGGGGTGCCGTTCCTCACACAAGGAGAAATGCCTACATAAATACATGTCCTCAAATCGTTCGTTTTTTAGGTATTAAGTTAAAAAAATTACGGTAGACGCTGTTAAATGAACAATCCAAGATGCAATCCCAAAATATTTTTCCAAACTTTGAAAATCCTGACATTGTTAAACGTAACACTTCTCAGTTAACTCACTGCTACACAAGTTAAACGTTGAAGACAGACTAGCCACGAATTTACACGAATGACAAATGTAACGTAGTCTACATGGCAATACAGCACCATCTACTCCAAACTTTCTTTAAATTTATTAACACAAAAATGAAAGATTTACGGACACAGGTTTCTATGGACTTTTATCCTTGTTTTGATGTGAGGAACCCACCCCATAGTTTCTTAAAGTATTTCTGATACACCATATATATATATATATATATGTATGTGTGTGTGTGTGTGTGTGTGTGTGTGTGTGTGTGTGTGTGCAAATATATAGAAAAATAGGAAAGAATACGTTAGGTAAATAATCCGAAGTTCTTTAGTATTTTTTGTTTTTATTAAAAAAAAAAAAACACAGTGCTCAATACATAAGTAGAGCCTAAATTATAATTATTTTTTTAAAAATATGATTCCTTCGCTACATAAGAGTTCTCATGTTTCAATAACAATTCCCAAAATTTCGCTTGTGGATGAAACAGAGTTTGATACTTTAATTCATTTTAATTTTAATAATTATATTGAAGTTTTTGGCCATTGTTTTCGAAACATGAGAACTCTTATGTAGCGAAGTAATCATATTATTAAGATATATATATATATATATATATATATATATATATATATATATATATATATATATATATATATATATATATATATATATATATATATATATATATATATATATATATATATATATATATATATATATATATATATATATATATTACATTACCATGACAATATTCCAAAGAAAGTGAGATCCATGCACATATTAGACTCTCATAGAAGACGGGAACTTGATGTGCCTCACCATTGACACTTCTGTGGGGTCCGCTCAAAGCAACTTCGTGAACGCTTTGCTAAGATCGGTGTCGAGTCGTGGGAGTGGGCGGTAAATGTTCTAAATACAGCCCATGTTCTCATTCTCGATATGCATGTCAAGTATCATTACGTTAGTTTGTCTTTGTTTTTTTAAGTCTTTTTTTTATTTCACCACAAACAAGGCAATAAAGCCACTAAAACACAATGGGGGAGGGGTTACTGAGATAATAAAAAGAGAAAAATGAATAATATTAACGGGAGAGAAACATTAAAAGAACGGAAGATAACGATTGTCATTCCATTTAATTTTCTGAATATCGAAGTTGGCTGGAAAGCAAGAAGCCGGTATAGAGTTCCACAAACGAGAAATTTAATAGAAGAAACTATTAGCATAGAACTTACGGTTGCATTTCAACTGGTGATAGAAATATTCATCTGAAATATTTGTGTGTTGTATTTGGAGTTTCTCGATACATATTCGGGCAAAGAAACCCATTAACATTTGCACCGGCTTCCAACTATCTTCTTGTAAAATTCGCGATTCCACTGAAGTGCAAGTGTCAGTCCGGATATTGACTAAGCTCTGTAACCTCATCGCCGCTTTTCTCTCCGACATTCCATGGTTTTACCTTTTTTGACATCGAGGCCCTTTATTTATAGACATGGGATCGGTAGAGACCTGTTGGAAGTGCACCTGCCGAATATCTCAGCATCCGAAGAATTTATTTGCCGTTAGCATTAGACTTCACATCAAACACCACGAAAAATTTGTTAATGACATTTTTTTTCTTTTCTTTTTTTTTTTTTTTTACTTTCAGTTCGTGTGAGGATGGGATAAGTATGGAAAGCAGGATGATGTGCTGTTGCTATGGCGACTGCTCGTTTTATTATTTAACAATCCTTTTTAAACTTATTAACATGGGAATGAGAATTTATGAGTATGTCAATATTTAATTCAATTGCGAAGTATTTTACTCAGGAATTGCGATTCTAGGGAGCCTGCCGTAGCGCCATAATTCGCGAGTTCACCTCGCGTCTGCTGTAAGGCAACACTCAGCCGGCTTGTCTCGGGAATCATTGCTCATGTACTGAATTCGATCATCAAGGAGAGATCCTTCCCTGCCCCCTACCCCATTAGAATGTCTGATAGTCAACTTCTTCAGAGCAACTCCCTGCGTCTGCTCGGTCTCACGTTGACTGCTGACCTGAGATGGAACAAATACATTGAGTCAATTGCTTCTTCCACCGCGAGAAAAATTGGCTCTCTGTGCCGCGCCAGGAAATTTTTTCTCCCCAGAATCGATACTTCAAATATACAAATCAACCTTTCGCCCTTGCATGGAGTATTGCTGCCATATATGGTCTGGGGAACCTTCTGTTTACCTCGGAGTTCTTGACAAGATCCAGAGACGGATATGTAATCTAATTGGCCCTGATCTGGCGTCTCGTCTACAGTCACTCTCTCACAGACGCGCCGTCGCCTCTCTCTGTCTTTTCTACAAATACTTTTATGGTAATTGCTTCGATGAGCTGCTTTCACTAGTTCCCAGATTCCATGAATTCAAGCGCCCTACGAGGCTGGCATCCCGCTTCCACCCTTACACTATTGAAACTTCTAAATGTAGCCGTCTCTTCTACTCCAATAGCTTCATACCTCGCACCTCTCGCCTGTGGAACACCCTTCCCAATTACTGTTTCCCTGACAGCTATAATCTCCAACTATTCAAATGTAATGTCAATCGACATCTCCAGTTACCTTGATCTACCCACTATCCCTCTCCTCATCCTTTCTTCTATCACTCCTATCTGCTCTCGCTCCAAATCTTCTGCAACCCCCTGCATCCTAGAATGTCCAAAAAACATAGGCATAAAGATACGCATGCCGTAGCTCAGTGGTTAATAAAATCCTCTAGTCATACCATTTCTCTTGTATTTTGTTCTCAATACTATAAGGCCCTCAAATAATGTAGCTTTCTGTCAGAACCAGCTGACATCTGGGCTGGAAACTGCGCAATCTTCTCTTTCTAGCTTTGATTGAGGTCAAATCGTTTGCGTTGTCTTGTAGGCGGTGACGTTTTTCTCACCCTGAAACATCTTACTACCCTACCCGCTACTCCATCACTGTTTCTTTGACAAATGTCCAGAAGAGCTTCAATCTTTAGTTCCACCAGCCCAGACCTTTAGGGCTTGGACACATCATGCCATTTCCAAAGATCGAATCAACCTTATTTCCTCGATGCTCCAAAGATAAGAACGTTCTACTCAGACGTATTTTTCTTTTTTGTAGAACAGACACCCGCACGAGTACTTCCCTAAACATTTCAGTTTTGATCATTACAAGTCAAGGATCTGTCGCCATCCTTTGTTTCACGTCAAAAACTTTGTTTCCTGACATCACCTCTTTCATTCATAATTTAATACAGAAATTCATAGAATGTTCTTAGTGGTAAAACCTTGCTTAGTATGTATCGTAAAACCGGGTGCTGGTGAGGTGTATTCTATTCTGTTGTCCGGTGGCACAAAAAAAAAAAAAAAGTGAAGATCATTATCAGTAACGAAATGAATTCAATATTCACTGGATATCTCACTTTACTAGAATAGGCTACATTTAAAGAAAAAGGTAAGATCAGTATCAGTAGTGAAATGAATTCAATATTCACTGGATATCTCACTTTACTAGAATAGGCTAAAATTAAAAAAAAAAAGGTAAGATCAGTATCAGTAGCGAAATGAATTCAATATTCACTGGATATCTCACTTTACTAGAATAGGCTACATTTAAAAAAAGTGAAGATCAGTATCAGTAACGAAATGAATTCAATATTCACTGGATATCTCAATTTACTAGAATAGGCTAAAATTAAAAAAAAAAGGTAAGGTCAGTATCAGTAACGAAATGAATTCAATATTCACTGGATATCTCACTTTACTAGAATAAGCTACATTTAGTAAACACTAACCCTAACCCACTCGCATCCGGGAAAGCACCATATTACCAATGGATGCTAACGGTCGGGGTTCAGGCTTATGTACAATATAATGATTTTGAATGCAGATGTTCAGGTGAAGACTGATTTTCTCCATTTGGATGATTGGCGCAATATATTCTTCCTAGCCGGACGAAAAAAGAAATCAATAAATACGTATATCATTGTTGGCTCGTTTTTCTCGTTTAGCAGCATATCAAAACCTCTATGAGTCATTTAATGCCGAAACCTAAATATTTTGTACCCAAGGATATTTGCGCGTAAGTGAATATCACGCACCCAACTTGAATTGGAACCCTGCTCTCCGATTAACAACTCCGAGCCATTATCCATTACACCAACCGGAAAATGAAGTTTGCAGCACCTGTAATTTCCAAGCGATCACCCATCTAGGTACAGACCAGGCTCGACATTGCTTAACTTCACTGATCATACGAGATCCGGTGTTTCCACGTGATGTGGCCGTGATCCTGTATATTACTGTCTCCTGAACAGTGACCAAGATAGTTACATCATTCGAACTGGCGCCAATGTTTGCACGGCGTTTCCTTAATTACCCGGATCTCGATTGTCCCAGATTCGATTATCCGTACGTGAAATGCAGCGAAGAACTGAAATTATCTGAACATTTTCCAAACGTCCGGTCAATACCCGCTCTAATATTTCATCTCGTACAAGAGTGTTGAGAATATATAAAACCATACTCAGCGACTGATTAAAACGCTGATAAAATCGTTTTAATGAATTCTTGTTCATTTTCTCGTTGCTTTCACATGAAGAACATACATTTGAATTATGACGGTTTGATTAACGCCAGAGATTATGACTGACGGAACTCTTAGATGCGCGTAAACGGATAAAACTTGATGCATTTAAAAAAACAAAAAAAAAAACTGTAAGAAATCAATACTAATTTTGATTTAACTAAACATATTTTTCAAACAAGGTGCAGGATAATGCTGTTCATTATATATATATATATATATATATATATTAAGGCATTAAAAACTAGAAATGTAGTATTGTAGGCCATGATAAGTTTAAAATAAAACACACACCAGTCGACCGGTTTCGTCCCCTCTCATCAGAACTGTTAACGGGGAATTTAGATTATGAGGAAAAGAAAAAGTCTGTCATGGGTGACATGAATGAATGAATGGACAGGGAAGGAAAAAATATATATATATATATATTAAAATTATACCAACCAAGCTGCTAGAATCGCAGAACATATATATATATATATATATATATATATATATATATATATATATATATATATATATATATTTAACAGTTCTGATGAGAGGGGACGAAACCGGTCGGCTGGTGTGTGTTTTATTTTAAACTTATCATGGCCTACAATACTACATTTCTAGTTTTAATGCCTTAATACGCTTTTGTACCGTTTCAAACCTATTTTAAATATATATATATATATATATATATATATATATATATATATATATATATATATATATATATATATTATAAATTACCTGGTTTAAAAATATGGTTTCATTGTTACAGAGGAATTACCATGTTTCAAAAACCGAAGCTAAAACATCAAATTCAATTATATTATATTAAAAGCATTAGTTCTGTTTCATCTTCAATCGAATTTTGGAATCATGTTTTCCAAAATTCGCTTGAAGATAAAACAGAACGAATGCTTTTAATTTAATATAATAGAATTTGAAGTTATTGTTTTCTCTTTTTTAGACATGTTAATTCCTTTGTAGCGATGAAAGCATACTTTAAATCAGGTAATTTATAATATTTATGCTCTGTAAATTTACATTGAGCACTCTTTTGTAAAAATAAAAATATCAATAAGAACACCAGATTACATATCTTACTGTTCTTCCTTTTTTACTATAATATATATGTGTGTGTGTGTGTGTGTGTGTGTGTGTGTGTGTGTGTGTGTGTGTGTGTGTGTGTGTGTGTGTGTGTGTGTGTGTGTGTGTGTGTGTAACAGCAAAATTGTTCATTTGTTAGATTAATATTTGAACCATTGTTAGAAACGATTAAAGATATCATACTGGAATACTACTAAGTTTTTATAACGCTATTAGACTTTGATCAATAAGGATGTTTAATTAACAGAAAAATCATGATGAAATCGATCATAAACGAAAAAGTTTATCATTAGTTAATCATAGCTAAGTATCAGAAGCTCATGAAATATTTAAATAAAGTTCAAATACATACATACATACATACATATATATATATATGTTTAATATCATTTTATATATAGACATATATATATATAATATCATTATACACACACACTTACACAAGTACACACACACACATATATATACATAAAAGGTACAATGGGTAAATTGTCGCCATATTTTATTTTTAATTTCATGCAGGCGCTTTGTTTTTAATTTTATCGACTGCGCAGTATAGTAGGGACAATTGAGAAAAGAGCACCAGGACGCAATTCACCAGAAATTTGGAAACGGTCAACTCTACTAAGAATCAGAAGTTCATGAAATATTTAAAAAAAGTTCAAATACATATATATATATATATATATATATATAATTCCAGGATCCTTTTCCAAGTTATTCAAGACTAGCAGTAGAGTCCGGCGTTGCCCGGAGATGTACAGTAAGAGATAGATCAAGTATCGACCATCATAAAGACTGAAAAATAAAATTGACAAAGATTATTGTTTAAAGTTGACGGACACGCATGTCTTAATTAGTTTTTTTTGTTTTGTTTTTTTTTACGAATTGGTCAAACCCAAACTCAAACAAAACATTGTTTTCAATCGTTATGAGTCTACCGATTGAATAGAATTTTATTATAAACAATTGTCTCGTAAATGGAATTTTTAAAGCATTCTGAATGTAAAAATAAAGGAAAAAGTGTGCAAGACAATAAGAAACACTACCTGCCAAAAAAAGTGAAGTCTTGTTGAAATCGGTTGAAAAATGTAGGAAATCCGACCCTATATATAAACACACACACACACACACACACAAACAACCTGGGTTTTATAATAAGTATAACTCGATATGAGTTGTCCCCCTTTCATTTACGGGATGCCTCTTAATCGTGTTTTCAATTTGATTTCGTGCAAAAACAGTTGTGTTTTTTCCCATTTTTGGCGTAGTCCTGTGAAGTTTTGTCGAAATCGGTTGAAAAATGTAGGAAATCCGATGCAATATATAAACGTACAGACACACACACACACAACCTGGGATTTATAATAAGTATGATGATCTTCGTCCTCTCTAACCTTCTAGCTTTTTCTCCTGCAGTAGCAAGGTCCTTCACACGTTTCACGTACGATTTCATTTTCAGTTTTTCGTTTCCCACTGATCTTTCGACTGTTATAACTAAAACTCCTCTCTCCCGGGCCAAACGCCTTGTAGACTGAGTTGGATCTTTTCTAATTGATCTTTTTAGCTCTATGTTGAAATGATGATCCCTCTTCCTGTTTTGACCTCCTGATCTAGTTTCCCTCTCTACTGTTCCCTCTTTGTTAAACTTTTTCACTGTTCTCTTGATGGTTCTTGAATGGACGTTGAAGAGGAAAGCCAGAGTATGAATGTTGGTGCCATTACTGAAGGCCAGAATGAACATTTTTCTCTAACCATTGCTCACTTGGGAAGACAGTGGAGCTGACACAAAACAATTTTAACCTGCTCTCTTTTTAGCTGAATATCTCAAAGAGTTTTCCATAATTCTTGAGTAAAATATCAAGATGGCTAAACATCTTATCTGAAAACCTCGAAATATATATATATATATATATATATATATATATATATATATATATATATATATATATATATATATATATTATAATATGGTAATAGATAGATACAGATATGCTTTCGTAAATTTTGTAAATTTGGTAATATCCATATGTATAGTTAATCCCATATTACCGTATTCGATTAATTTATAACGTGTGTCTATATAATTTCACCACTATATATATATATATATATATATATATATATATATATATATATATATATATACCCTTGTACAAATTAATTGAAACGAATGCTTTAGTTTCCTTTCTTTCAACATACGGTCAGTTTTAGTCCCACTGGATTGACAGGCTGTAATCGATTTCTATTTTTCCTCAAGTTAGGTCATTTGCAGTAGTGTGCAATAATATGAATCTATTTTCGAGTTATATGATGACATTTGTTTGTCCTTGAAAAATATTGCGTCACCCGTGATTGCCTCAGATGTTTATCGGGTCAGGACACTACTGTCTCGACTGTCAATTAGTTGTCCTATGCCCATTGTCTGTGATGCACGTTACTCCTAGGAAGCGAAGAAAAAATTGTAACGATACAGGAACATACTGACAAGCCTTACTAGCAGACAAATCAAAGTACTATAGACTGGCTCTCCTGATTTAAATCCAATCGAGAATCTGTGATCAATCTGCAAGGATTTACTTCATGGAATGCACATACTAAGTACTGTCATGTGCACTGGGCCTCGTTGCGTTGAAAAAATACGAAAAAATGTAAATAATCACGGAAATATTCGTTTTGTCTCGGGATATATATATATATATATATATATATATATATATATATATATATATATATAATGATGAAAGCAAATACTTTAGAAATCCATGGTAATATTTTATTTCGCGAGATCAAATCGATCTCGACTCCTCAAACGTAACAATTTTACATCATTAAACGAATATTAAATTTCCCCAGGCGAAAAAAAGACATTTTTTTTCAAAAATAAGATGGGAAGATATAGATTTTAAGGTTTTAATATGGGGGAAGGAAAAGAGAAAAAGGTGGGGAAAGATGTGGAAATATATGTCTAGATAGATGGGGGAGGGAGAGTAGGATGGGAAAATATAGAGTTTAAAACAGGGTTTAATATGGGGGAAGGGTAAGGGAGAGAAAGGGGAGTAAGAGATTGGAATATATATGTCTATAGAGAGGGAGAGTGATGGGGAAGGGAGAGTAAGATAATGGAATGATAATGTAAGATAATGCTCTGTTCTCAGATCGGATTTATATCCTCTTTGGAATTATCCATACTAATCATCAAACAATATTACATATGTATATAGATAGATAGATAGATAGATAGATAGACATACATATATACATGATTGTATATATATATTATTTATTTATTATACTTTTGTCATATAGACAAAACAATTTTACTCACTACAAAGATCCAACTTCGTTTCAGTGCATTTCAACTGCACTTCGACGGATGAGAACCGAAAATAGTCAAATGGCATAACCATTTTCGGTGCTCACTCGTCGAAATGCAGTTGAAATGCACTGAAACGAAGTTGCATCTTTGTAGTGAGTAAAATGGTTTTGTGTATATGATAAAAGTATACTAAATAAAATAAATAATTATCGCTCTACTATCGGTATCGAGCCCTCTTTTGGATTAATGCTGTGAACGTTGGAATTTATATATTATTTTCGTTCTCATCGCATATATATATATATATATATATATATATATATATATATATATATATATATAGATGTGGTTGTTTTTATTTGGTACCTAACCCATTATAAAATTACCGTTACTTTGTCATCAAAGCTTTAGCTATGTTTTACAGTCATCACGAATGACTTGCAACAGTAACAATCTCAGTGATGCGGGATTTGGTATACCAGGCTGATCTTTTTACTGTTTCGACCTTTCTGAACTCAAACTATGCAGTTAAGTCCCGGAGAGCTCTTCAGCGAAGAGGGAATCTTAGCCTCTTGACCTAAGAAGTAATTAACAGAAAGCGTGTAATGCGGAGTAGTCTGAAATGGAAAGCTTGTTTGAGTGAGATAAAGGTGAAAAGACCGGCCGCCCTTTGCTGTGCTTTCATGAACTCATCTTTATTTCATCCTAAATGTTTGTACCATTATCAATTCGTTCTCCTTGTAAGTTCGGAGCTTCCAACACAAAGACAGGGGGAAGGGAAAGAGAAAGAAAAGACAGTTAAAGAGAATGAGAGAGAGAGAGAGAGAGAGATAAAGTGAGAAAACTCATCTTTGTCTATTTCGTTCATTTTAAATGTCTGTTTTTCTCTTCTGCTTCGACTCTGTTTTATCTCGATATCTATTTCTTGGATGTGCGGGTGGTGTAATGGTGGATAGCGGCTCAATCTGTGAAACCGGAGATCAGAGTACGAATTCCACTCGAGTTTGTTTCTTTCACTTATGTACAAATAAGCTTGAAAAAGATATTAATCCAGCTCTTCGTTTCCCCCCAGCTATGGGCTATATAGTAGGACTCTGTAGCCTTGGATAGTAAACATTCTAGGAGAAGGAGTACTATGAATTTAAAACCGCATGTAACTGTAGCGAAGAACATATTATGCAGCTTAGGAATAGATCGTGGAGTTCACATTGACGTTAGGATCCCGGAGGGTGACTAAAGTTAAGCAATGTCGAGCTTGGTCAATACCTAAAGGGATGATCACTTGGGAACACCAGGATGTGTTTGGATGTGCGGGTCACAACATTGATAATCGCTCGGAATTGTTAATCAGTGTGCCGAGTTTCACTTCCTGTTAGGTTCGTTAGATTGACCTACGAGCAAATACCGTTAGAAAAGGTGTGAATCCGGCCTCTCCCCATCCCCCATATATGAAGTAATTAATAATCTTGTATCTCTAAATATATTATTATGCCCCTCACCAAAACAGATATTCTTACAATCTTAAAATAGTTTCTGGCTTTAAATAACCTTAAGTCGTAAAAACAGAATCAATTAACCAAATCAACTGCAGTCGGCCTTCTATTACTCTTCTTAACGCCCTTCTTCCAATTTCTTCACACTTCTATTTTTCTTTTTAATAAATACGTGAACAAACTTAGCATATATATATATATATATATATATTATTTTTTTTCTACCTGTAGATATTTTTTCGGTCACGCTAATTTCCTAAATGTGCATGTGGTGTAAATGAGAACGACTCGAAATGAGAAGTCGGAGAGCTGAGTTCGAATAGCAGTCAAGATCATTGGATAAACATACGCATAAAAGTATGGAGGCTGTTAAGTGACAAAACTCAATGTCTAATAAACGAAAGTGAGTAAATGACATTGGAGTTGATTTTTTTTTCAGTTAATCGGATGAGTAGTTATGAGCGTCTCTTAAATTTAAATTTTTTGAGAAACTAACATTTTTTACTTTTGTGACGGTTACACACCTGGCCCAGGGTCGAATCCCTTGGTTACGGCGCCAACTGTGACGTCGCTCCTCCTGGTCGCACCTCCTGGTTCCAAGCGTGCCGCTCCAACCCCTTGGTTGGATGATCACCAGCCTCGCCTTTCCCAACTCGCTTCCAATACCTGGTTACTGAAGCAACTGTACTGATCTCCGGTCTGTCTACCCACGTTGTGTTTAGATCTTAGACAGACGGGACCAGCAGGGATTGGGGCCGATACAAGTTGAGTCCGACGGGGGTGGAAAAACACAAGTAAAAGAAAAAAAAAACTCACGAGACAAAAAAATTACTGATAAAAAAGGGTGACAACCTTTTATATCTAATGTCCGTTACATAAAGAAAAATTGTTCTCAATTCCCGACCCACTCTGTGGACTATGGCAACAAGTTTTCTATCACACAACCTAAAGATTTCGAATTGCCTACTCTTTAGAATTGTGTATGTCGGAGTGTGGTTTAGTTCGACACTGGGGCTAATTTCTATCGATCATTCGCAGTTGATTCTTCTCTTCGACTTGAGTTGTATTTCTTCTTCTTCGTCGACTAAGATCTTCTTGTCGACTTGGCTGCAACTTCTCTTGTCTTCGACTTGGCTGCAACTTCTCTTGTCTTCGACTTCTCTGCGGCTTTCGAGTAATCTTCTTCTTCGACTTGGGCTGGAAGTTCTCTTGTCTTCGACTTGGCTGCAACTTCTCTTGTCTTCGACTTGGCTGCAACTTCTCTTGTCTTCGACTTGGCTGCAACTTCTCTGCGGCTTTCGAGTAATCTTCTTCTTCGTCTGCTTGGGCTGGAAGTTCTCTTGTCTTCGACTTGGGCTGGAAGGATTTCTTGCCGCAACTCAGCCGCAACTCTCTGTCGTCCGAGGTGATCTCTTCTCGCTGCCGTCCGGGGCTGAACTCTGCCGTAACTCTGCCACAACTCTTGCTGCCTGTCTGGCCTGCAATTCTTCTTCTTGTCTGCCTGCAATTCTTCGGCCTGTCTGGCCTGCAGCTCTTCTTCTTATCTTCGACTTGGCTGTAACTTCTCTGCGGCTTGCGAGCAATCTTCTTCTTCTTCGATTTGGGCTGGAAGGATTTCTTGTCTGAGGATTCTCTTGCCCGCAAAGGGGCGAGTGAATCGGGCCCGATGCCCGCGTTCAGGCTCTATCCCTGCCCGCGGTCCAGCTGCAACTCCACTCCAACTGATTTCTGTCGACTGGGGTCCTGCTTTTATTGACGCCGCAACAAACCGGGGTGGGTCTGTCGGCGTCAGGGGTTTTCTCAATAATTCCAAAAGTCGCCTTATTTCTGTCTTCTCATTATCGCTATTGTTTTCATCCCTACTTCCTCACAGTGCCCTTGGTGGGGAGGCGCACACCCATCCTTCCCGGTCCCTCGTATGTCAGGTGACCGCTCTCGACCAATGATTCCTGATCGAGCACTTCTTTCTCTTCTTTTTGCAGATCACGTGACCGTTTCCGACCAATGGTTCTTGATCGAGCATCCTTTCTTCTTTCCGCATATCACGTGACCGCTTTCGGCTAATGAGATTGTGGTTGGGCGTGGTTTACATCGTTCTTGTTTTAAAAAAAACAAAATCTAATTTTGCCTTTTTTGCACGTACGAAAAATGACAATCTTGGCTTTTTCTCACCTGGGCTCTGTCAAAACAGCCCGCCGCTAATTAGATGTGACTTCAGGGAAGAATATTGGCGCTATCTGTGAACTGAGACAATCGTTTTTTTCACCTCTTGTTTTTGTCAGACCCGACAGTCAGAAAATCTTAATTATCTACATTGAAAATGTCCCCACTTTGTTATCATGGGTTTCCAATTCTTAATAGGTCAGAATCTGTATATAGTTCCACCGGTCACTCCCCTCAACCCAAAAGACACTTTTTTTCTCCGATTAAAAAAAAATTTCGTTTCTATTGTTCTAAAATTTCCTTTCTCCAGATTAAGATTTCGTTCGACATTCTTATCAAAATGACTTTCCCTTCTTAAATAATATTTCTTTTCATTGTCTCATTGTCGAAAATCGGCCAAGATGTTGACCTAAATACCTTTCTGATACGTGTTTTTGTTAATGACCGCTTTTTGCATTTCTTGACCTCTCTTTCCCTTTTTCTTTATCTTCCCTTCTTTCCTTTTCTTTTCTTTCCTCTTCTTCCCTTAGGATCGTCTAAGTACAATCTTAGTGAATTATTTTCAACTCAATTATTTTCCGTTTAAAAAAAAAAAAAAATCAACAACCTGTTTAGTAAACCGAGTAAAAAAAATTAAATCATATTTCTATGAATATTTCTAATAATGCAAGGTGCCACAATCCTCCCCTAACCGATTTGTCATTTACCCGTAAATGACACCTAAACCCAATTACATCATTTAACATGCACCATGCATTTGTCTCATGCAATTCTATTCTACTTTCTAACATGCAAGGGTAATGTTCTTTCCATTTTCTTTTTTGTTCTACATGCAATGAAATGTTCTTTTCATTTTCTTCTGTTCTACATGCAATGAAATGTTCAATGAAATGTTCTTTTCATTTTCTTTTGTTCTACAGGCAATGTAATGTTCTTTTCATTTTCTTCTGTTCTACATGCAAGGTAATGTGTGCGTGTGTCTGTAGGTGCAGATGTGTTCACTAGGGTTTGTTCTTCTTGGTCAATGTTTTCCTCTCTGCCGTGGGAGGTTTTTCCGCCGCACGTGGTGGTCTCACGCCAGCCTCCTCCATTGGTCTTTCAGCAATTTCTTCGCCAGTCCTGTCTGAGTAAGGAACACCGCTCGGCATCTCCCTCTCGAGTTGCTGCATGCTCACTAGACTGTCGTTCGCCAATCTTCTCTTACTCTTAATCTTCCATATTATTACACCTCCGATGGCTATAACTAGGAATGTACCCATTACTATTGACCAACTTAT